CAGACAAATGGTTGTCAATCTCTTCTTAAAAATTTCCAGTGTTGGAGCATTCGCAACTTCTGGAGGCAAGTTGTTCCACTGATTAATTTTTCTAACTGTCAGGAAATTTCTCCTTAGTTCTAGATTGCTTCTCTCCTTGATTAGTTTCCATCCATTGCTTCTTGTCCTGCCGTCAGGGGCTATGGAGAATAGCTTGACTCCCTCTTCTTTGTGGCAACTCCTGAGATATTGGAACACTGCTATCATGTCACCCCTGGTCCTTCTCTTCATTAAACTAGACATACCCAATTCCAGCAACTGTTCTTTATATATTTTAGCCCCCATCATCTTTGTTGCTCTTCTCTGCACTCTTTCTAAAGTCTCAACATCTTTTTTACGTCGTGGTAACCAAAACTGGATGCATTATTCCAATTGTGGCCTTACCAAGGCATTATAAAGTGGTATTAATACTTCACGTGATCTTGATTCTATCCCTCTGTTAATGCAGCCTAGAACTGTGTTGGCTTTTTTGGCAGCTGCAGCACACTGCTGGCTCATATTTAAGTGATTGTCCACTAGGACTCCGAGATCCCTCTCATAGTTACTACTCTTGAGCAAGGTACCACCTATACTGTACTTGTACATGTGGTTTTTCTTGCTTAAATGTAGAATCTTATTTTTTTCACCATTGAATAACATTTTATGTCCATCTCTGTCAAGATCCTTCTGTACCTTAAGCCTATCTTCTGGAGTTTTGGCTATTCCTGCCAGCTATTGGCTATTCCTTCCTTCCTTCCTTCCTTCCTTCCTTCCTTCCTTCCTTCCTTCCTTCCTTCCTTCCTTCCTTCCTTCCTTCCTTCCTTCCTTCCTTCCTTCCTTCCTTCTTTCCCTCAGTTCTAATGCACTTTCCCAAAGAGCATTCAAAGAAATGTTTGATGAAAAGGAGTTAAACTTGAAACGACAATGAAGAATTGCAAATCAATTGCCAACGCCATTCCCCCACAAAAATCAATAAATTTACTAGAGTAATCAATTAAAATTCTGTTCCATGTTCAATAACAGAAAGTGCTGTGGCTTCAGAACAAGAAAAAGAACATTATTTCTCAAGCTATGCAGAACGTATTCTGCTTCAGTGTGGAGTGATGGAAGAAGCTGTACAGAAACCAGAAATATATTTTACAACTTTTCTGTGTTTCTGTAACTGTGAACTGATTGATGATGTTCCTCTCCATAAATAGGTTTTTTTAAATAATTTATTTCATCCCATATCAACAATCTTATTTTTTAAGATACAGTAAACTAAACCTGGTAAAGAAAAGGATATGTACCTGGAGAAACAAATCTATCATGTTTACAAATCTATCTGTATTTTCACACCTCTGTTTATACCCTGCCAAACAAAACTTGGTTAAATATATCATATGTCTAACTGACTTATGTGTTTATCCTGTTTATTATGTGTTTAAATACTGTTTATTAAAATTTTGAAAAAGAATGGCAAGGAATATTCTAAGATCTAACTATATACAGAGGGAGAAAGGAATCTGAAAAATAATTTTATAAAAAATAAATAATTATTTCTCTGAACAGATTCCGTTGCTGACACATTTAAAAACAGTTTGAGAGCCAGTTTGATGTAGTAGTGAAGGTGCTGGCCTAGAAACCAGGAGTCTGTGAGTTCTAGTCCTGCCTTAGGCATGAAAGTCTGGTGGGTGACTTGGGCCCAGTCAGCTCATAGAATTTTTGCTGTGGGGAAAATGGGAGGAGTATTAGATATGTTTTTCTCCTTGAATTACGTATTACAAAGGTGTGATAAAAAAATAATAACTCGTGAGACCACAAAATAGACAAAGTAATAGAAAATAAAAAAGCAAATGTGCTGTAGGACTTTAGAATTCAAAAAGAAAAGCATCGGCCACATAACATCCCAGAACAATTGTTGATAAAAAAAACCAAAATAGATAGTGGATATTGCAATTCCAAAACAACTGGAATACCACATGGATATCATCGGCACTGAAAAAAAACATCATCAGTCAAATGCAAAAGGCAGCTTTATTTAGAATAGTTTACATCTTGGGACAATACTTTTAACACCATTAAACATTAACATCTGCCTATCCCAGGTCCTTGGGAAGGACTCGATTGGTGGGTAAAAATGCCAAATCCAGTTTGAACATCTGGCCGACTGTGTGATCAATCCTAATAATTAAATAAAATGCATTTTGAAGTTGTTTTTATGAATTGTTGAATATTATGACTGCATAGGACCTTGGATTTGATCTATAGAAGGTGCCTTAAAAAGCACAAAAGAGCAAATGTACCAAAGTGTGCATAATTTTTTGATAATCACAACCCCAAATGTACTATTGTTCATGAACAAAACACTTCTGACAGGCCACAAAAAAACAATCTCTGTGAAGAATTAAGGTAGTTTTGTATTACAGAGAAAGAAGGACATTTTATAGATGTTCGGCCTTTTTTCCTTAGAATTTCTGAGTGTAGTAATTTGACTCATAGAATAAAGGAAGACACAAATTTTCCCAATGAGTTAAAAAACAGTTGGATGAATGGTCTGATACAATACATGAAACTGATTTTAAAACGGAACAATAGAGCTGACAACGCTAGGAACCACTTGCTATCACTGCTGGAGAAATCTAACAAAAGGGTTAGATTTGTAAGCATTTACTGGATCTGTGATGTCTGGAACATAGTTTCAAAGGATTAGAATCATTTGTACACTGAGCAACAGAAACACTAAGAGAACAAAGAATATACAAATATAACAAAAAATAACAGATGCATTATTAAGTTACTTAGGACTCCCCCCCCCTTCCTTATGTACTTTCAAACTGTTATACAAAGAACATGAGAAAAAGGGTGAGGAAAGACTCTTTTCATCTTCTTGGGCCAGTCTCTACAATACATCATATTTACACTTTCAGCAGAGTTTGATGAAAGTGTAAATATTACACTTAGTCTTTTTGCATTTGAAGTTCTTAATTTTAAATTAACACAACTTCTATTCTTTCTTATGGTCCGTATTATTAATATAAAGAATTTCATTAATTTTTTCCATCAGTTGATAATTTAAGCAAGATTGCTGCATTAAAAAAATCGGGGGGGGGGGGAAGGAGGGAGAGCACAGTCGTTTCTCTACAAGATTTGTTGATCTAAATCAGTGTTTTTCAAACCTGGCAATTTTAAAGGGTGTGGACCTCAGCTTCCAGAATTTCCTAGACAGCATGCTAGGAAGCCTTGAGTATTTATTTTATAAACAAAGGAGTGGGCCAACCATCTCACCACTTTAAAATTGCCAAAATTCCATAGAGCTCACCTTAATGTATCTCCATCTGCTTTGCCAACAGCCTGGATCCTCCATAGGTTCCTCTATAATAAATGGACATTTCTGTGTGGGACAAATGCTAGTTCTATTGCTTCATTATGAATATTGCATTGAGTACGCTAATTGTACTTTTCTAATAAAAAAAATCTAGGTTATCCACACTAATGCTGTTCTTCTACTACTATCCTACTATCTACTTCTACTACTATCTACTACTATCCTATAATAAGTACTAAGAGCTGTGGTGGTTAGAATGCAGCATTGCTGGCTCAAGATGGACTCACCCTTTCACCCTTTCAAAGCCAGTAAAATAAGGGCCCAGATTGTTGGGGAAAATATGCTGACTCTGTAAACCGCTTAGAAAGGGCTGTAAAGCGGTAGATAAGTCTAAGTGCTATTGCTATTATATGCAATACAGATGGCCCTCGACTTACAATCACAATTGGGACCAGATTTCTATTGCTAAACAAGAAAGTTGTTAAATGACACCTATATGATTTTGTGACTTTTTTTTGCCATGGTTGTTAAATGAATCATTGCAGGTTATTAAGTGAATTCAGCTTCCCCCATTTACTTTGCTTTTTGGAAGCTGGCTGGGAAGGTCACAAATGGAGATCATGTGAACTTGGGGTGCTGTAACCATCGTAAATACATGCTGGATGCCAAGGGCCTGAATTCTGGTCATGTAACAATGGGGATGCTGTCATGGTCATAAGTGCAAGTCACTTTTTTCAGTGCCATTGAACTCTGAACAGTCACTAAATAATGGTTGTAAGTCAAACACTACTTATATAATTAATATATTTTTATTTTGCATTAAAAGGTAAAAGCCAATGTACGATAACGGAAAACTTTTATTTTTATAGCACTGTTCTTTTTAGCTACACATGATCCAGATACTGTTTGTGTGATCAGCGTCTGTATTTTGTGTCTTGTCCTTGAGGTTGCTGACCATTAACTGAAAGCAAAGGAGAAAGCTTAAGAAGGGAAGCGCATCTTGCCTTGCTTGACTCCCCTACTCGAGGCATCTACCGTACTACTTACTCTAAGTCAGTCAGTGATCCTCTTTTTTTTAATCTGAAGCTGTGGGTTTCCCAAATAAAAGTACACTTAGCAACAACAAAAAGTATGTCGTTTGCAAAGCATTTCTTTCAAGGCTGAGTTCAGTAGGGCGGGGGGACTAAATTGACTGCTCCTTAAACAGAAACAAAAGGGGACGTGGTTGAGCATGGGATATCTAGGGGCCGAGAGCAGCGGGAGACGATGGGGGAGACAGAAAGACCCTCGCATCTGATTTATTTTCCTTCGGTTAGGGACAGAACCGGGGCGCCATAGAGGGGAGCCCAACAAGCAACTTTCTCTCGACTCTTCCTTCGCGCCTGCGGCTCCGCACCCTCCTCCCTTGGCGCACGCTCGCCGCCCCCTTCCTCTCCCCCCCCCACCGCCTCCCCTCATTGTCTTCCCGACCGCGTCGGGCGATAAATTCCTGACTGAAAATCGCTCCGGCAGCTACGCAAGCAATCAGATTGGAGCTGCCGTCGTCTCGCACCGCCTGGCGCGCGTTAGGTCGAGAACCCCCGCCTTCTCCTCCTAGCGCAGAAAGCCCCCCTGCTGACGTGCGTGGGGCTGCTGAGGTACCCGCTACGAAGGCAAGTTGGGAAGGTACCAAATCTCAATATTCCCCCCACCCCACCCGGCCGCCCGCCTCCGGAGCACCATGTCGCTTTCGCATTCTTCCCTCGGCCACCCCTCCAGCCCCGCTTCTGGGCTTTGGCGCCTTCCCTCTCTCTGGCTGTGAAAAGCGCAGCGCGCTTCGAGGCGAGAGAGGAGGACGCGAACGCAACAAGCCCCTTTCTTCGCCGCCGACCTCAGGGAAGTCAGCCGTGGCGCTCTCCAGCGAACAGCCGGAGTGCCAGGACATGTAATTCGGACGAAGGTTGTTTTCCCCATCCAGGTGGCCAAAGTGGCTTCTTACCCCGTGCTCTTTCCAGCGACCTTTTCTCTCGTCCGTTGCAAGCGGGAAGAGTTCCTTCCTTCCTTCCTTCCTTCCTTCCCGTGTGGTCTGGTGTCGTGAGGTTGACAATGCTGACGGAGAGATGTCTGGGATTGCTATACTGTGGCTTGTATCTCTGGGCATCTTTGTTTCTTTCTTTTTTGCAAGGTAAGTTCTGGGTTGTTTGTGGTGGCTTTGGCTATTTAAAAAAACAACAACATCGCAGTGGGATCTTTTTTCTTTCTTTCTTTCTGATTTCCTTGGAGAGGTGCCTCTGGGACCTTGTCTTGTAAAAGGACTTTATTCATTCCCACTGGAAATGAAGAGGGCAGGATGGCTTGATTGAATGGGGTCTATTAAAAATTGGAACTTGAACTCCAGACGGATATATATTGTTTTGATTTATTTTTTTGTCCTGCATATGATGCAGGAGATGCGTGTGTATGTGTGTGCGTTTGTGCGCATAAATTAGAAAAAAGCTTGGAGGGGGAGAGGTGATTTAACTACAGTACTGTAAAAAGTGCCACTTTTTCTTCTGTTTTGATAACTTCTTTTTGAGAGCATACTTGTCAGCTATAAAAATGAGAGCCTGCAACCGGCAGAAAAACAATGCAGTGTGAATTTCCTAACCAAATATGACACATATCCTCAGATATGACAAGATAAATATAGGATTGATTTAAGAGTCATCATGGGCTGGTTCATTAGGTTTAAAGTATATACACCTGAGAGAAGGAGAATTATCTGTTTAAGTATTTGTCCTATTATCTTTTACTTACTGTATTAAGTCAGGAATTAATTTAAAAGACAACATGAGTTCTGTTAGAGTGTGGAAAGAAGCTTGACTCACTCTAGTTGGCATACCTGGAGTATTGTTTACTTTTATACATTTGTCTCATGCCAGTGATTTGAGTAGGTTTTGGCTTAATTTTAGAAGATGGACCAGGGTGATGTGAATATAGTAGATATAATGAACCTGTACATGCAGGCTAGTACTTTATAGCTACAGTATGATATGAAATTGTTAAAGGATGATGCAATTCAATTGACAAAAACCAAGAGAACAGAAATCCAGATAAACATTTTTAAAAATGGGAAAAGACCCCAACAAATGTAATAGAGCACTATATAACACTTTCAAGAGGTTTGTATCCTATATACTGTAGAGCAGTGGTTCTCAACCTGTGGGTCGGGACCCCATTTGGGGTCGAACGACCATTTCACGGGGGTCGCCAGACCAGGCTGTCCGCCATTTTTCCCCCTTTCCTTTGGCCACGCCCCTAGCACCCGGTGATGTATAAGTGGTTGGGGGTCACCACAACATGGGGAACTGTATTATGGGGTCGCGGCATTACAAAGGTTGAGAACCACTGCTGTAGAGAGAGAGTAGTACAAAAAGTAAAATCCTATAGATCAAATCAACTTGATTTGAGTTTTATCAAAAGAAAAATCTGAATGATTGTATCTTCATTTAAGGACCAGACATAAGTTACCCTTTCTTATTTTTACTCTGTTCTTTATCTGTAAAATAAGGAAATGTTAATCTACCATAAAAGATGTAAAATGCTTACTATTATAAAGGACTATTTATCATACTAAATAGATTTTTAATATTCCTGTTCTTGTTCCTAAACCTGATTGACAAATATTTTAATTATAAATACTTGACTATATATGGCCTTATTTTAATATTACTATCAAGCAGAGAATTTCCCCTATATACCCTCAAAATGATAAAAACAGACAAGAAAGAGTGCTTGACAGGTCAGAAGATTCCCTTCCAGTCTTGCCTCTTTCTTTAAAAAAAAAAACATTTCGTTACATATAGTACCAATAATGCTAAACATATAATTTAAAAACCTTCTAGGACTCAGATGAACTTAACATTGCAATGCTATACATGTACACTTAGAAGTGTCTTTAATTGGGCAAGCCCAGAGAAGACTAAATGTATAGTTTGGGGATGCAGTTTGAGAGTTTTAATCTAACTTATATGGGGTTACCAACTCCTTTATTATCGTAGCAGCTTTGAATCTAAAAGTCTAAATATGTGTGCGGAGATAGTTTTCTATGTTGGATTACTTGATGGGCCTAGGATAGTTTTAGGATGGAGACCTTCTTTTATCTTGCTAGTGGACCTCCTATTGACAGACCAAAATGCTAGATATAGTGGAGAGTTTTTTTTTTCATAGAATAAGTGAAATGATTAGACTTAAAGTTTACCCCAAGAAGCTAGGCTGATTTCCACTGGAGTCCTTGGGCATTGTGAAGGCATTGTGAAGTGCCTAAAGATTAGGCTAGCTGTTTGTATTCATGGCTCCATCTGGACTTTTTGATGAGGCTTTGGCCAGGTCTGCCTTTGCCCACTAAAACAAGTAAACCAGCTCTTCTTAAAGTTGGAGACCCTTGCTATAGTTACTGATGCCCTCATTAGCTTTTGATTGGATTGCTGCAATGTGTTCCCCTTGAAGATAACTTTGAAACTGCAACTAGTTCAGAATGCAGAAGCCCACATGCTGACTGGTGAGAATCAGTCCAGTATTACAACAACTACTGTATATTGTGGACAACGCCTTTGTTAGATTAACAAGTACAATCCAAGTTCCTGCATTTAAAGCGCTACTTGGGCAAAGGGGAAACTACTCCTTCCATAGTGATTTTGGCTGGTTTGCTTCTGTTCTGCTCAGGAGTGAATACTATAGGTTATTTTAGGCCTGGTAGTAAAAGAAGACCAAGGTGCAAAACCATATTTCATTCCCTGGAATAAGTTTCTTGCTCTGAAATCTGGAGGGTTGTCTTTAACAACAACAACAACTCCCATGCATCTTTAAAAAAAAAAACACAATTCAAACTTGGTTTTTCAGATAAGGTTTTAATGACCAACATTCCCCTCTTGCTTTCCACTTTTGCTGGTTGCATAATGATGTTTTAATTTGAAACGTACATATTTACATCGGATTGTTTGTAAATCTTATTGTTTGCTTTGAAAATTGCCAAGGATGTTTGTAATAGAACTCTTAATAGTATGTAACTTTTGAGAAATAAATACATAAATAAATAATCTGGATTATTTGAAACATATTAGCAGATAATTAGTCTGGTTTTGAAATTAATTCTGTAATTCTAGATAACTATACATTCTTGAATGTGTGAATGGGAGAAAGGGGCATTGTATATCTCATAGCCTTTCTTCTTTTCATTCTGTGTAACTTTATAAAAATAAATCAATAGCATCATGAGTGGGGAAGATAGAGGTCATCATATCTTTTAGTTCTGTGGATCAAACATAGTGCTGCATACTTGGTTTCCTTTTCATGAGATGAGTGGAAAAGATAGTTGCTCAATGTTGTCAGCATCAACAGCTCTAATCATTTGTTTGAGGAATATCCCTGACTTTCATAAGTTATTTCCCTTATAATGGTTCAATCCACTGCATGTGGTCAGCGGAATACTAGTCACAGGGATCTAAACAGGTTCATGAAAGCTTAGGTCCTGGGACTATATGTATATGATTGAACAGCCAATCATTTCTATAACCTATTCTGATAGAAATGAAGCAGTAATGTGTATTGGCTAGCATAAGTGTATATTAAAAGAGAAGTAAAGGTCAATGGTCTTGTTGAGGTGTATTATAGATTTACTATTTGGAATGGCGTAATGTACATTTTCTATCCCATTAGTAATGCTTCTTGGCCTGTCTCTGGTCTCATGCTTTTTTTGGAACTTATATAGAAGCAAACTCTTTGCCATGGTCAATGCCAGCACCTACACAATTTGGGATTAGTGCCCATAAACAATTGCCCACTGAACAGAGCTGAAGTTTTAACACTATTACCATGTTGATGTTTTTCTAAGCTCAGAAATGTAAAATGACAGAATAGAATAGAATGGAATGGAATGGAAGGGACCTTAGAGGTCTTCTAGTCCAGTCCCCTGCTCAAGCAGTAGAACCTATACCATCCCAGACAGATGATGATGATGATGATGATGATGATGATGATGATGATAATAATAATAATAATAATAATAATAATAATAATAATTCGGCGTTGATCTGCTAGTCTCTGTTCTGTTATTTCTGATTCTGGATGTTGTTCTTTCCAGAACTGGTGCATTCGTTTTAGATATCCTCTTCTTGTTGGACTTGATCTGTAGTAACAGATCATTATTTCTTTGTTTTCCATCACTGTGTATCTGCGACGGGTAAACACCTTTTCTTCCAGTAGTTCTGCAGCTGTTGGCCCTGGTTGCTCAGCCAACAGTCCTGAATCCTGTAACCCATTTTTCACCAGATATCCAGGAACTCCGATATTTAGCGCAGACCTTGTTAACCCGGGCGACGTCCGAGCCGGTATGGCATTCTGCAATTTACGTCTCACCATATTTTTTATGGGAGAGACACTCTTTGTCTGACTCCTCTGATGAGACCTGTCCAGTATGGTTGAACCTCTGGCATAGCTCTCATCTTCCTCAGAGTACACAAGCCCCACAACCATGACACAGAAACAGAATTGGACGAACTGCAAAGGTTTACCCAGGGCAAAGAAATCAAAGCCTTACCAGAAGTAATTCAGAATGTAGAGGCAAACCAGGGGGAGTTGACAGTGAAGGAATCCAGCAGAGATATACAACTGTTCTCATTTGGAAACCAGGCACCTCTTCCTCAGGAAGAACAAAACCCTCTAACTAAAGAAATAAAAGAATTGAAACAAAGAATAACTGAGCATCTAGAACAGCACAAAAACAACAGAATAAGGCTACCTGCATTGAAGCTTGTTCCAAAGAAACAGCTAGCACAAGCATTAAAAGATGCAAATACTGCAATATCAAGTATAAGCACCAATTCACTGCAAGAAACAAACCAACTAATGTACAGCACAGCTGCAGTTATAACAGAATACCTGGGATGCAAAATCAACAAAGAAGAAAAACAAACAAACAGTGCACCAGAAAAATGGAAGGTTAGACTAGAAAATAAGATCAGCAAGTTAAGATCACATGCAAGCAAGCTAGAACAGATGAAAGAAAAGAAGCTGAAGAACAAGAAGACCAAAGAATACCTAATCAAGAAATACCACTTAGAAACAAGGAAGATCAAGGAAGCACTGGAAATAATAAAGCAACAAATAACAGCTATAGCCAGGAAAATCAGTAGATATGAAGCTCGA